GGGGGGGGGGGGGGGGGTACTTCAATTATTTTTTATTCAAAGTTTTTATTTTTCAAATCTGCAAATAATCAACCGAAATCCCAGGGGCGTTGCCTGTAATATTGTCTAGTTTGGGCAAAATTTAATCAAGACTGAACTTTGAGATAAACACTATAATAACGAACCATATCCAAAACCTACATAAAGATTTTGCATGTACGGTAAAACAGTTCTTATCAAACTATGTTAAAAACTTCACTACATGTAGAGAAAGATCTAGTAAACCAATTCCTTTGCAAAAGCATCAAACTATGTTAATTTTAATCCACCTATCAAACTTTAACCTATTTTCATGAATCAAAACATTTTGCAATGTATGCCTCAACCCATAAGTTGCCACTCATAATTTATGATCAATTCTAATCATATTCAACATATAATCACGTAAGTTACTAAATTAAAGGAAGGCAAGTAGAAATTAAAATCACGAGAAAGCCAATCCATGAAGATAAGAATACTTTGTCAGGAGCTGATCAAAATTGCATAAAATAAATGAAAATGACATAACAGTCAAGAATTAGAAGTCTTGCGCAAAAACAAAAACAAATGACACATACAATTAGCAAGTTAGCCCTAATATTGACATCACCAAATAAGGTTACTAGTTTACAATCAAACAAGAAGAAGCACAAAAGACAATGATACCGGTGTCAAAAGTAACTAAACCATGCAGTGGTAAATTTTCATCATGAATAGGATGGTTATCAACATGCCACAGTGCATAGAAATGTTAAACTATACTAACTTGATTATATTTCCATACCATTAACAAGATTCATGCATGTGTGTTTGTAAAAATTTAAATATGAATTGAAACTTTGTTTTACATTAAATTGTGAGATGATTAAACACTTTATATTTATTTTTTCTTATGAATTAAGATGCTAAAAATTAGAAAGTGGCATTTTCTATCTTTTTTTCTAAAAATGCTACAGTCTATCCCATTCGAATTCTTTCAAATCAATTAAATAGATGCATAAATGTTTGTTAATGAAAAGTTAAATATGAATATAAATTTAAACTTGTTTTACATTAAAAACTGGCACGTTGTAACATTTTATTTGTATTTTTTTACATGAGTTAATTTGTTGAAAATTAAAAGTGATATACTCTGTTACCTTTTTTTTTTGTAAAGTCTCACTTCATTGTGTTTGTATTCTATTTATATATATGGATAGAAGTGCTGTCATCATTTGTCATGGAGGCTACGGGTGAACACGGTATGATTTGGACGGTTTGAGACAAATTTTCAAATAAAACCATTTAAAGCAGTTTGAAATTTTTTGAAACCAAGCCAAATCACTTCGATTTCTAAATCAAACCAATCTAAACTATTTTTTTTGGTTTTGATTCGGTTTAAAATCACGGTTTAGCAAAGAAAAAATTATAAATCATAAATATTAGTTTAAAATTTCAAGTTAAAAACATAAATTGTATCATTAAAAAATTACAAACCAAAGTTATATAATTATAATAATTATAATGCAACAAAATAAAATGAATATTTTAAACTCTTAGTCGATACTAATAGCATCCATCTACAATTATAATACACGGTTTATTTTCTTCATAAATATAAAAATATAAAACATGAATTCATTAATTATAGTTAAATGATATAAAATAATTAATAAAATAAAAAAAATTCAAATACAATAGTATTAGCTACTATGACTTTTTGTGAATCACTCAAAGCTTCCACTCTATCCAAATATTAGTGAATTGCTTTAAGGGAGCTCAACAATTATTAAAACAAACCAATATAACTACCAATAAAAATATAGAAAACAATTACCAAAAAATAAAGGAATTTTGATAATCCAACTTAAATTTAAGCAAAATTTGAGAAAATTATTAGAAGGAAATAAAATGTGCAAGTTTGAATTGAAATCTAAATTTTATTATCTGTTCAATTGTAATGGATGATCGATTAATATGGTTTAGCAGCAGTTGTTCAATACTTTACCCAATTTGAGGGTTTTTACATTTACACTTGCGATAACTAATGAGTATTTGGATGTGATTAATTAATTAATTGAGATGTATAATTGTCGAATTGAGTTTAATGAATTTTGTCTAATATGGATGTATCTTTTTAACTTAAATGTGTTAAATAAAATTTAGACTAATTTATATGTAAATTTTTCTTTTCTTTTTTTGAAAATCAGATCGCAAACATTGAAATCTAAACCAAATCATTTCAAAGCGGTTTTGCTTGATTCAAAATCAAAACATTGATAGATCCACGTAGAATCAAACCAATAGTTTCTTAGTTCAGCCCTAATGAATGTAGACATGGACAAGATAACAAATATAAATGTGATGAAATGATTGAAATTGTAGTCTTGATAGATTATACATGCAGCAACATTTGTTAAAATGAACGTCATTTTTGTTTAAGAAGTTAAATTTTAACATTGTTAAAAAGAACTTATATTTACAAATGCTAAATTAGGCAACAATTTTATGACGTTCAAAATGTACGCCATTTTTTGTTAAAAAATATCACTACTAAAAAGTATTATGTTACTTTTTCATAAAAAGGTGAAATACCAATTCTCAACCTTAAAAAAAAAAAAAAAAAGGTAATAAATATTGTTAAATGAAAAGTGACATAAATAAAAAAAAAATTGATAAAAATTAAAAGTAGTGACAAAAATTAAAAAAAGTGACAAAATCAATTCTTGGGCTTTTCGGACTTCATGGGTTTTGAACATAATTAATACACAAATTTTAGTACTAATTAACGTCAGGACAATTATATTACTACCACAATATTTACTTAATACAACGCATTATAATCACACCATAATTAAAATATATTTTTAATAAATACACACAACAAATTTATAAATATATTCCTAATTCAATTAAATAATAAAGTATGACTTATATTATATTACCAGGTTGATTTTAACACAATTGTGCCAACACTTGGCAATATTTCATTGGTAGCAAGTGTTAATTTGGCACAATTCTAATAAAATGGCATAACTCTTGTGATGTACTCATAAATAATGGGAGGTCTGGAATTTCGTCTAGATTTATGTACATCCTCCGATCATCATCTCTTGGGTGTTCAATGAATTCCCCGAACCAACTCCGGCGGTTGCAATGGCTTCCATCAATATTAACATTTCACCTTTGGACGGAACCCTTTTCAGCTGCGGAGTTTAAAATCGCTGCTTGTGCCTTTTTAGAGCTATGGAAAAAGTTCAATTCAGCTCTTCCTCTGTGGTTGTGGATCCCGTCTTCAAAATGGCCCGATATTCCCTTTAATCATGTAAATTATACTTGGAACATCTCGTACTTGTTCCTATCAATTAATTTAATCCAAAACTTGTATGATTTATTTTCTGAACTTTTTTTTCCCCTCTTATGGTGGAAGGGTACTTATCAAAGGAAAATGTAATTTTTCTTGGTTTTGATGAGGTGGGTTTTCTGATATCTGCAACTTTAACAAATTTTCATTCATTTTTGCAGCCAGAATTCTAAGTTATTCCCAAATATTCTAATGTTTTGTTTTACATGAAGATCGTCATAAAGGGGATCGGATCGCCTTGTTTGGCCCCCATTTTTTGAAAATGAAAAGGGGTAAAATAATATTTTTCTGAAAAATGAGTGGTTGAAAAAGAAAGAAAAATTTTCAATTTACGTATAATATTATTTTATGAAAGATTATGTAGTTGAAAATAGAAAATAGAAAAATAGAATGTAATGGAATTAAAATTAATGAGATTCAAACGGAGGCTCAATCTAATTATGTAATTTTACTTAAGGTTATTTAAGTAAATAAAAAAATATTAAAAATTGGGTTGATAAAGAACAGTATGAATGTTCTTATGTAGATGAATTTATTAAAACCAAATTCGAAAAAAAAATAGAGAATAATGGAGGCAGAAGACTTGCAACTATACAATAAAAAAGAAAAAAATTTAGATTTATGTTTGTGGTGGAACAAAAGTTTATTTTATTAAAAAATATATTGAAACCCTAATTATGTAATTTTACTTGAGGTTATTTAAGTAAATAAAAAAATATTAAAAATTGTGGTGCATTTAATGAATTTTGTGTTACCCATAATGTTAAGAGTATTAATTTAATTTTTTTTGGGGTAGAGAATCTAATTTGACCGCACTGCCACATTTTGCGACCGCCTTATTGAAATTTCTTTTCATGTTGAGAGGCATATTTATTTGAAATTTGTAACTTTCACTCTTTACACGTTTTGTGATAAGAACCTTGGAAAAAGGAAATATACCTAATCATATTTCTTAAAAGAGTTTCATGGAAGTCTTTAATATGAATGATTGCACTTATTATATCTTTATAAAGATAATCAAAATTTATCCTCTCTTAATCATCATTATTGACTTTAATACTTTTCTCTTTTAAAAATCTCAACTACTCGACAACCTTCGATGATTTGTCGCAATTAACAGGTCCCTCTCGTGGTCCACATCTCATCCAGTCAGGGTCTGAAATGTCGTGATTTGTTTAAATAATCGCACCATGTATGCGTATATGATTGTTTATTGAAATACTTCACCCTACTTTACACTTCCCTTGCAATAGGGCCTCTTTGTGTCGCATATAATTTGATTATACTTAAAAGTGATTTTTAAATTACTAATTTAATCAAATATAATTCTCATTTGATAGGATCGTGGATGAAGAGGAAAACGAAATGGGAGTTGGAGATGGAGATGGCTAAAAAACTCGCTATACTCAATATCCATGATCGTGCCTTCAATATGACGGGGATTCCTCGTCTAATCAAGTACATGGAATGAGGGTTGTTGTCCTAAGAGGGAACAAGATGAGTACAAGCAATATGGTTGTCATCCTGTTTAAAGTTAATTTTAAAATATGAGGTTTTATTAACACAAAAAGAAAAGAATCATCATCATTATAGAGGAATCATGGATTTGTAGATTATGAAACATGGATTATTCTACATTTTGGGAAAAAAATTAAGAATTTTCATCAATTAAAAATATCCAAACAAATTAAAAATAAATAAAAAATAAATGTTGTAAACGGGGTAAGGAATCCGCCTCGTCCCGCTTTAATCGAGCATGAAGGCGGAATAAGGAGAGAAAAATACTTTATGGAGCGGAAAACAAGAACGATTGCTTGACCTCAACCCATCCCGTTACCATTCCTAAACATAGTTGAGCAGCTCTCTTTGTCCCGAGCTCGCCCTGAAAACAAAATGTGTAGAGAATAAATTACTTATAAAGAAGTATTCGGTATACCTAGGTTTTCCTCCTAAAAATACATCCTCTCGTGTATCAAAATTCATGTCAATTGACAAAAATAACCTTGTAGCGTGGGAAACAAGAAGCCGGCAATTTGGATAGTTTTGGGTTATCCAAAAAAATACCGGTCAAAAACCGCCCCACCACTACACACCACCTTCTTAGATTATTACAGGTCGTTCAGCAGACAATTCCAACACCAAAACCAATAAATTCTACTTAAAAAACATACCAAAAAGTTTATATATACTACATGTGTGTATATATGTGGAGAGAGAAGTCACCGGAAAAATGAAACAACTGTGCCGGAAAATAGTCCACGTCAAGATTAGGTGGAGTGTACTTGAAAAGGTGAGAATATTCCGGCAGTTTTTCACATTCCTCTGGAAAAGAATTTTTGTTTGTTCAATAGGAAAGCCTGCGGGGTACAGAAGATTTTCTCGGAGGTCTGATTCTGATTCTTCCGATTCTCCTTCTCCGCCATCCACGGCGGCGATAGACTCTGGGTACGGCCAAAAAGAAGAGCCCACAACCACATGCAGTAGTGGCTATGAGAGTGATTCAGATTTAGTCACATTGAAGATCAGTATATTGGGTGACTGCCAGATTGGAAAAACTAGCTTTGTGGTATGTTTAATTTTATATAAATGATTCGATTTTTTATTATTGAATCAACTCATCTAAGAGCTTACTATTTTTTGGCAGCCCAATTTCGTTTTTTCATAAGAAGTCACATCTACTCTATCATGTTGAACTTTTCCATCTAAAAAACTACGTGGTTAGAAAGAGAGCACATTTCATTAATCAGGGATTGTTTGACAAAAATTTTTCAATTCTTGATAAAATTAAAATATATAACTGAAAAGATAAAAATTGTCGATCCTTACGATTAAAAATTAATTTATGTCTGTGACCTCGACTTGTTACCTACTTTTTAAGCTTTTTTAAGCAAGCACTTAATTTTAATCTTCAACCTTTGCTCATGTTCTTGTGTATTATGGAGAATTGAATTTTTTTTTTTCATTTTTTTAAATTTTTTTGTGGGTGGGTGGGTTGGATATTCAGATAAAATATGTAGGGGATGAAGAGGAAAGGATAAGTTTGCAGATGAAAGGGCTAAATTTAATGGACAAAACATTATATGTCGAAGGTGCAAGAATTGCTTTCAGAATATGGGATGTTGGAGGTATGTTGATTAATTTCTTCCCAAAATAAGTACTTATTGTTGTTTAGTCGCTTTAACGTGAAATATAGTCAATATATTTTATAATTAAGTGATTTTTTTTTTTTAAATCTTGTCAAATTATTATAAAAATGCAGGTGACAATAGGTCATTCGATCAAATTCCAATTGCTTGTAAAGATTCTGTAGCAATCTTGTTTATGTTTGATCTTACTAGTAGATGTACACTAAACAGGTATTTTATTATTAACTCTCAAGGTCTTTCTTCTTCATTTCATTGTGCCATCGTGACGTCGATGATAGGACATGACAATTTATCGAACAAAGAGGACCCATCTAGCTATTACGCATCCCGATTTCATATATTATTATTTTCTTCTTAAAGTGGATCTATTATTGTGTCATTTCAGTATTATCGGATGGTACAACGAAGCTAGAAAGTGGAATCAGGTATGAAACACAGGAAGTTCTTTTTCTTCACGTACGTACACTACTTTAGGAAAAAGGATAGCGATGGACCGAGTCGTTTAAAGAAAATCGTACACTTGAACAATATGCATGCTTTTCTCTATAAAGTAGCATTAAAGCTGAGTCTTTTTCTCATAAAAGTTATAGCAGCAATAACTACAGTGGGCGAGGTTGGAACTTTATTCGGTTCATTTCTAGTACAGGGATTGGGGGTTGGATATTTAAGTACAGTAGCTGAAACTTAAGAGCTACTTATGTAATTTGTACAATGGCAATAAGTACAGTGATTGATAGGTAAGGTAGGGCCTATTTGATAGAGTTTGTTGTTTTGTTCTTCTAAGAATGTGTTTGATTGATATGAAAATATCACCTAAAAAAGAAAATGTTTTCCATCTTTTGTGGAAGGAAAATATTTTTCTTAAAAACAAGGAAAATTAGGCATATTTTCAAAAGTTGGAAAATATTTTCCATGAAAAAAAATAACAATCAAACACTCTAGGTAGGAATTTAGGTGGAAAACTAATATTTTTCATGTAAAATAAATGTAATCAAACACACCCTAAATGTTTTTCTAGCCAGAGAATGCACTTCTTGAAAAATTTTCAACACTTTTTGATTTTTCAAAAGTTCTGTCAAACGGGTGCTTGATGATTTGTATATGTATGGCATATGTCTAGATTTACTATCAATGGCTTTTAAAAGTTCTATCAAACAAATGGGTGTTTGATAATTTGTAGATTTACTATCGATGACTTTTCAAAAGATCTGTTAAATGGGTGCTTGATGATTTGTGCATGTATGGCATATGTCTAGATTTACTATCGATGGCTTTTCAAAAGTTCTATCAAGCGGGTGCTTGATGATTTATGTATGATTGGCATATGTCTAGATTTACTATCAATGACTCAATTGTTTGCTTATCGAAATTTGCTTCCCTATACTTGTTTGGTGCACATTCCTTTGACACTTCAACAGATGTTAGGGAGTCAACACCTAACAATTCCTAATTAGGATGCTCGATGAAGACGATATTGTGACAACAATATCATGATGTTCGAAAGTGGTTAATTATTGATACGATTCACTTAGTCCTAGATTTAGATGCATCCCTACTAATTTGTTTTCGACAATAACAACATATCTAATTATTTCAATTTTGAATTTTGATACTTGCAGACTGCAATTCCCATACTAATAGGGACCAAATTTGACGATTTTGTCCAACTTCCACCAGATATCCAGTGGACTGTAGTCACTCAGGTAATTGTAAACTCTCTCATTTTCTCATGTAATACATAGATTTTAAAAAGTTCAGATATACAATTTCTTCGTTCTTGTCACTTTCTTAAACACCGGCCTTGATATTTTACGGTCCATTTGATAGGATTTTTACTTCTTGAGAAAACTATATTAAGTCAGTTTTTTCTAAAAACTTTTGTATTCAAACAAAATACTTTTAAGAAAATCATCCAAACATGTTAAAAATTGATTCATTTATCTCATAAGCAGTATTTGACTTTTCAAAAATCTTCGAGCCCTTAGTTAGTCTCGAGTCTACTAATATAGACAAGAAAGCTTTTTTTATTTCTTTTTTTTTTTTAGGGGTTGGGGGGGGGAGGGGGGGGGGTACAAATTTGACAATCAGTGTCCAAATTCTTGAAAATTAAGGTTACCCCACGATTACTGCAAGCCAACTACGAGAAATCAATTTTTTTTCCCCCTTTCTATTGGGGAGAATACGAGTCTTCTTTGATGTGTCAATTTCAAGACGTTTGTCCAGCCTTTAGCCAATATAGAAAGGAAATTCGTGTCAAACACGGCGACAACTTGAAAGGTTGTGAACGTGCATACATTTGTATTTTACGTATTTTTGTAAATTAGGCAAATAACTAAGTATAATATTTTATTTGAATGTCTCATCTAATGCATGTATCAATATTTCATTTGTAGGCGAGGAGGTATGCAAAGGCAATGAAAGCAACCCTTTTCTTTTCGAGTTCAACACATAACATTAATGTAAACAAGATCTTCAAGTTTATCATGGCCAAGCTGTTTAACTTGCCATGGTCTGTCGAGAGGAATTTGACGATTGGTGAACCCATTATTGATTTCTAGGATGTTTAGTTCAAGAAATTATGTCGTGAATGTCCCTTTTTTTTTTTCCATCGAACGTAGTGTTAATATCTCAAGTTTTGTATAGCGACACCCATTCTCATGAACAGTTATGGTATTTACCTAACTACCATTCTCACCATGTTAATCCAACCATGAATCACCAATTAGTCACTAAGCATATCACCTAATAGAGCTTTTGTCATCCCAAGTTCGATCAACGTATACATGCGTACATACACGTGTTTGTATATAAAAAGAGGGGGAGGGAGAGAGATTATTCTCTTAAACTCAATTTTTTTTTTTCAAAATTATTTTCAATCACATATTCTACGAGTTCTGTTATATTTCCCTACTTCTTAATCACATTCTCAAAAAAAAAAAAATAATAATAATAATAAATAAATAAATAAATATAAATATATATATATATATATATATATCTTTTCAAAACAAGCTTAGTCCGCACTTTCACAATCACACCCCTTAGCCGTCAAGGTGGACATTTTTATAACATCCAAAAAGGACAGTCAATGCCAATTCTCTTTAGAATCTTTTGAAGACTTTATTCAGTTTTGGTTCCCCCCAATCTCACATGTTTGTCTTCCAAAGTCATAGATCTGACAAAAAAATTAAAATTTATCTTACACTAATTGCTTAGACATAGTATCGGTCGAGGCTTTCATTCTCCACTGGCCTGCAAACCAAAAAGAACGAATGTGTTTAACCGGAAGGGAGGATAAAGAGTACTTCTATTTACAATATTACCGATATTGAAGAACAGAGAGTTGTTTGCTGCAAGATGGGCGGTTTGTAGAGATGTTTGCAACCCTCCTTTCTATCCCGAAGAGATAGAAGCTTAACAATATACATATAGAGTGGTTCTGCCCATTAAAATTCAATGATCAATGACTATCATATGTTGAGACATGAATGGTGAAGATGGTTCACATACTCACATGAATAGGCCTAGGCAAAAAAATCAAAAAATCGATCAAACCAATCAAACCAAACCGACTCGGGTCGGTTTGACACAAGTAATTGGTTTGGTTTGGTTTTTTTTAAACAAAACCATTGTGGGTTGGTTTGGTCATGGGTTGAAACCCCAAACCGCTGATTAACGGAACCATTCCAACTCACTCACATATATATCGTTTTTTTTAAAGAAAAATAAAAATAAAAAGATAAGCCCTAATCTCATAACTATATCACGATTCCCTCCAATCTATGATCTTGCCGGTAAGTAATGGTAATGAAAATTTCCTTTCACAAGTGCATTATTTTATAATTAGCATTTTTTCGTACGTAGACAGTCAGACTACATAATGCATAAAAAGACAGCAAAATTCTTAATTTTTCGGTTCACCTGTCTCTATTAACATGATTTTATTTATTAATCAATAATTCTTGTAATATAAAATTATTTAGTTATTTTAGTTTTTGTAATCTAATTGGGCCCAAAACTTAGACAATTTTTTTTAAAAAAAAATTCAATCTAGACTAAAAGTTCAAACCAACTAACCAAACAGAATTGATTTGGCTTAGTTTAGTTTAAGAGTTAGAGTAGGTTGGTTTGTGTTGAAATTCACCAAAATCGATTAATTTGATTTTGGTTTTGGGTTGGAGTAGAAATCAACCCAAACCAAATTGCGCCCAGACCTACACACGAACTCTAGACTCAAAAAATATAAGCCACATTATGGAAAGGATAGAAATATTTATAAGAAATTGAAATAGAAAAAATTCTTGAATCGCATGGAAAGCTTAACCCTGAGCCATTTATATAATTGACCAACGGGCTAGGGCCAGTCGATTGTGTCATCGGCGAAAATACGATTCTCGCAACATAACTATAACTATTTTTTGCCAACCTATAGTTCAAAGTCAATCATCTTCCATTTTACCTAGTCTCAATGCACTCATCTTCGATGTCCCAAACTTTGTTAGTTGACACTAGTTGGCATACTTGATATGCTTGCACACAACATACGATGCATTCGAGTACTTAGTAGAAATAAGCACTTTTGCTCGATCTCAATTTTTTACGATTACTCACATGCCCAACAATGCAATAATGTGCTTTTCACTTTTTATGGGCATTTAAGCTTATTACGAGTTGCAACACCCTTCATCAAGCCTTACCGATATAGGCAATTTGTTAGTTCATGGCATACTCAACATGACATCGATGCATAATTTTCCCAACTATGCAAGCTTTTAGGTTCTTGTGACCCCCTATGAATTGCTAGTCGTAGAGGTTGCCCCTCCTTAAGAACGGTAACATGGAGAGTATTGGCTTACTTCTCATCAAGTATGTCTCCCTTATAATAGATTTAATAACTTTCGTTTAGATTTCACTGGTCCAGAAATCATAATTTTCTTTACTTTCTTATCTAAGCTCCAAATGACACTCCATCAATTTTAAGAGAAACTCTTGACCTCAATATCAAGCTCTCAAAGTTTCAATCTCAACGGACACTCGATCATAGAGTTATTGTCCTTGTAATGTTGTTGAAATTAAGTCATTGCCACACATTATGTTTCTCCTTTCATCCAACTCGTTTCCTAACCATCAAAACTCAAATGCACTTCAACTCAGGTTAAAAGCGTCTTAACTCGTTAAGCAAACTCTTTGCCACTTACCTCCATAATGATCACGAAAATAATCATCAAGCTAACACGTGGTTCTTGACACATTGGCCCTCAAATTTTGATACGGAAAATTGTAGCAACAGTCCAAAACCTTTTCAATTTTTGCGAACTTTACCTTAATTTTCATTTTATGTCAGTGAAGGTCACTAACCTTTCATAAATATGCAGTTGGAATCCAAATGGATGGAACCATTTGTAAGTTAGTTGACCAAAAAAGTCAGAATTTGGACCAAATTAAGAAAGGTATAATAGTAATTTGCATTTTCCTAAATGTTAACAATTAAAATAAAAAGTAAAACAAATGAAAAATAAAAAGTCTGACCCAAACCAATCCTCCAAGCTATCTCCTTCATCTTTTAGTCGAAAAACACCAAGGCAATGCCACCACAACCTGCCACCCCACCACAGTCTCTACCCTCTGTCACCATTGCCATTTGGTAAAACCTGGCTCCCCCACCACAGTCATAGGTATCTACCAAATTTTTGCCGCCATCGCCATTTATATTATAGTTCCTATTTTCTTAAATTCACTAAATTACGGAATGTGATTGTCCATTACAATCAATAACAACCAATAATCCATAGCAGTAGTATAAAATGAAGTAATAATAGCAGTGAAAAGGCTTTCCTTTAGAACTCGATTAACAGTAATAATCCTCCTTCTGTATGGCCACTGGCCAAGCTCAAGAACAAAGCCAAACACTAGCAATATGGATGAATCTTGGGGTTGTGGGTGATGTTACTTTGCTATCAATTGCGAATGAAATTAGAAAATTGCTTTCAAGATTAGAATATGTTGTAGTTTGAATATGGTGTATTTTTTGGTGGTTGGTTTTGGTTTGATTATGGTGGTGGCGCTTTACGGTGCTCTTGTCTGATGATAGCGGTGGCTATGAAGACTGGTCGATGATGTGTCGGAGCCGCTATTAAATGGGAAAGGGGATGTGGGAGGTTTGAAGGAGAGAAACTTTTTTATTTTCTATATTTTGGTTTTTTATCTTTTCTGATTTTTTATATTGATTTTCTGTATTCATTTGATAGAGAGAAGGTGGCGGTGGCGGTGGCGATGGTTTCCAATAGGTCACGTTGAAGAAGAAAGACCTCATCATATTTTGATTTGGGGGAGTGGGATGGGGTGGAGTGGAGTGAGGTTATATATTTATTTTTATTTTTTGGTTTTTAATTTAATTCTTAACTTATTTAATATAAAAAAAAATGCAAAGTACTATTATACCCTTCCTAATTTGGTCTAGTTTGATCAAATTTTGACTTTTTTGGTCAACTAACGTTCAAATTCCATCCATTTGGACTCCAGTTGCATTTTATGTAGGATTAGGGATCTTTGTAAACAAAATAAATATTAGAGCAGAGTTTGTAAAAATTGAAAATCTTTGGGATTGTTGTTGTAATTTTCCCAATTTTGATATCTCACATGCTTTCCCAATTTTGATATCTCACATGCAATGTTTTAAAACCCGGTTCGGGAATTGTCCCGGTAAAGAGAAAGGGTCAAAAGGTTCAATTGGGGTCGAACCAAGGTCAAATTGGAGGTGATAAATAAATATTTATAAACATTTAAATATTATTTTCACAACAATATATAATTAAATTTTTGCACCATCAATTCAAAATAAATACAAATATGTCAAATGCATGTTTTTAATATAAATTTTAATAGTTTTTATTTTTTAGATCGCTTAAAAACTCATTTCAGTTTTACTATCTAATTTGTAAGATTAAAAAAATGTTTAGCAATATATAGAAATTGAATAATTTATTTTGTAGTCATGCACCATGTGGCCATAATTAATATTGAAAAAGTGTGCTTTATTGAAGTTTGTCAATTCCACATTGAAAGTATATTTTATTAAATTTTGTCAATTCCACATTGAAAGTTTATCAATTATGAAAATCAAGAAATTGTTACAAAAGAGTTCCATATGTAAAAATTATGGCTTTCCATATTTAAGGTAACCATTTTATTATAATTTTTTTTTTCAAAAAAAAAGTTGTAGAAGCCGGTCTAAAACCGTAATTGGTTTCCGATTTAATTAACTGGTTTTTGTTTATTTGACCGATTATTAAATAACTGGTTAATTTAATATAATTATATCAAATTTTGGTTTGATTCCTGATTTTATCGGTTGAATAGGCCGATTCGGTCCTGATGACCCCAGCTCTTGTAACCCCGAACTCGATCCCTTGACCCCGACCTTGACATCACCAAAAACTACCAAATCAAGGTCGGGGTTTGTATGTCAACTCGTCACGCACTTCTTAACGACCTATGAGTGCACTAATTCTACTTAAGCCACAATCCTTACCCTGTTTGACTCCTTCTTCAACTCAAACAATGTTTGAACACTTGGAATGAAACACTAACTCCTTATCTTACGAGGATAAGGACCACAAAAGGATAAGTCCTTCTAGAACTCTATCATTAACACCTATGAATACACAACTCGGGCTCATTCTTGAGGTACTTTTTTCATTATTTCTAGTTTATAGCCTAACGCACTAAATTTC